GGGAAGCGGCCCGTTGACACCGCCCCCTCCCTTTCCCTCGGGTCCGCGGCCCGTTTCCCCGCCTCCGCCCGGCCGCTTCCCGCCCAGAGCTGCCTGTTGTCTCCTCCCCACCACTCGCGGGGCCTGTTCTTCGTCTCCTGGTACCGGGCAGTGTCCGCAGCACGGCTCCGCGCGGCGGGGAAAGCAGAGCTGGTCACGTCCCCTTCGGTTTGCCCATGTGCTGGACCAGGGGTGCCCACCTTCTTGGTTGCACGAGCGGGGCCAGGGCCCTCCCTGCCCCTGTGGGCCATACAGGTGCTCCCCACCTCACTGTCCTGCCCATGTGGGGGCAGCCCCCCTGTGCCATCGTGTGGCACAGAGCTCACCTGTAGCTCTCTGCAGGTTGCCCCGTGGCACTGGTGGTCAGCTGTCGGCTCCCCTGACACCACAGGTGGCAGCACCTTATCCCGGTGGCTGGGGCAGGCAGGAAGCAGAAACTGGGGGAAAGAAGTGGAGCCAGAGCGATAGGAGCAGCAGCCACCCAGGGGCCATGTGCTAACCCGTCACAGATTGTCCAGCTAGTGGCCACAGCCTGTCTGTGTTGAAGAACACTTGAAACTTGGTAGAGGACAGTCTGTGACTCAAGAGTCTGCCTTTTTGTCATCCCCACGGAAGTTCACTCAATTCTGGCTCAATTGAAAGCCTTTAAAAGAGGGATAGCTTTTTTTGTACAGTAGAGACTGCTTAAACATTAGCAGTTACATTCTGCAAAGACTGCCAGAGCGGAACGTGTGGTAGCTGGAAGCCAAGCAAGACTTTCTTCCTGATTGCTTTTGTGAGCTATGCTGTGCCTAAGCACTTGGACCGTTTCTTATACTCTCAATCATGCTGTCCACCTTTGACCCCAAGTATCATGGGGGAGGAAGATGCTGGTTCAAAGAAAGGGGGAACAAGAGTCAAATCTGTGGAATGTGACAGGGGCACAGAAAAGAGCAATTCAGGACAAGGAGCTTGAAGGAGAGTATGGAGAATGATGGGCAAACGTGAACATGTGACAGAGATTTCTGCCATTTAAACATTTTTTGTACCTTTGAAAAAATCTTGTAGATGTTATGGATTCCAAATAACATTCTAAATATCAACTGACTGCAATCTGATCCTAGGCAGATAGAGTAGTGTGTCTCTAGGATGGAGTAATGGAGTGATATAGACTCAAATCAAAATAGCTAGGGTGCTTTGGGGAAGGGTAAAATAACAGACTCCCTACCCTTACAGCAAACAGAAGGCCATTGAGTGGAAAGAAAAAACAAACATTTGTGAAAAACAGCTATCAGGAAGGAATTCAGCAGCCTTTCCACTTTCCACCTGGAAAATGGACCTGGCTTCTTACCTTAGAATTTCTCCTGGATAAATGGAGGAGGAAGCATTTTTCATACTGGATTTTACCCACCAGGCTTAGTCCTTGTGCTACTGAGTGTCTGGTAAAAAGACTGTGAAAGAGGGTGTATATGGAATGCGTATAAGTGAGAGAGGACATAGGCTGAAGTGAACAACTTACAAAGTACTTTAGAAAACAGAGTACAAGCATACTGCATAAGTGGTCTTGTAATTTATAGATCTAAGGGCATCTGTTTGCATTTGTTCAAATTAAAATTCACAAGGAATTACACAGACCTGTCATATATTCAGTTACTATTTTGAAACTGTCAATATGTTTTTCCACTTTCCAAAAGGATATGTATTTTTTATCATTAGGAAGCAAACTAATGAACAGCAGTAGTCCAGTTCTAAGAACGTGAAGCATTACACCTAGTCACTTCTCTTCACTGCAGTCCATTTCTATTCAGGATGAAGTTTTTATTATGCTTATTTAGTCAATTTGGTATATAGTGTTTTATGGATTGATAGCAGTTATTCAATTGGCTGCATTTTTTCACAGTAAACCACAATTTGGCCATTCTGTAACCCCATTTTCTTCTTGCCATAAATGCACATCTAATAAGGTATAAACTTTGAAATGGATTGGAAAATATCTAGTGTGGACAGCCTGAAAATGTGTTCATAAAATGGGCAAAAAACCAGTTTGTAGCAAAGAAAATAAGTATGTAAAAATAAAACTTAAACGTCACTGGATTTCACTGATATAACAACACAGTTTGGGTGGTAAAGTAAAATACCAGAAGCTATTCGTTTTTCATTTGAGAGTGTTTCTCGTTTTTGTAATTTCTCCTGATCTTAAGATAGTATGTCAGATGACTGCTGCCAATCCAAAATTCCTTTTAAAATACATATCTAGGGCTCTTCCTTGCAGAGAGAAATCTACTCCTTGTAAACTTTCAAATTAGAGACCTGTCGATGGAAAGATTGTGATGTTCTTTTCATCGAAGAGTGTGATGTTCTTTTCTTCCACAAACCTTCACCTGACCACAGAAAACAAGGAGTTGATTTTCTGTTAGGCCTGCTTTGTACCATGTCCCCACTCCCTGTGGACCTTTTCAAATAGATAGCAGGAACAGGACTATCTACCTACCTTAGATCTATTGTGTAAAGGGAACTTTGGGTATAGAGGAGGAGGGAATATTGAATATTTTTCTTCTTCCTGTGAATATACTGATGATTGCAGGAAGTGAGACCTTTCAGTGGGTGTTAGATAGCTTGAGCCATCCTGTGATCATCAGTTGACTCCTAACTGCTGAGGAGCCTACTTAAGCACACAGGAGATTATGAATATAATAGGGGTGCACCAATAGAGATTTTTGGGGCGTATATAGATAGCTGATTTTTAAAGGACGTGTTTCGGCTGATACCATTCCGATTTCCGATACCTAGCCTGGCAGCTTGGAGAGCTGCCTCCAACTGGTAAGTCTGGTGTGGTGGAAGGGGAGGGAGGAGGGAAGGGGTGTGGTGGGGCAGATCGAGGCCCCTGCAGTGAAGGAGGCATGGGGCTGGGGCAGGGGCTGGGGCAAGCTCCGCCCAGACAGGGCAGGACATCCAGGGGGGCATGGGGAGGGGTGGGGTGGCTCCCACTGCTGCACACCACTTGTGTGGGAGCCGCTTGCCTGGCAGCTCATCTGGCACTTGCCTGCTCATCCAGTGGTTCCCGCCACTCATCCAGGAGGGCATGGGGGCATGTGCCCCCGGATCTGCACAGGGCGAGGTGAGCTGGGACCGGGGCTGCACCAAGCTCTTCCTTGTGGGGTGGGGCTGTGCTGGGAAGGAGCAATGGTGAATTTGTGGCTGCAGCCCTCCCGTAGGTCCCCTCCTAGTGCTGTCCTACCCTGCCGGGAATGGCTTGGCGAAGCCCCAGTCCCAGCCTGTGCGGCATGCGGCAGTGGGAGTTGCAGGCCCCCTGGATGAGCCGTGGTGCCATCCTGCTGTTCTACACTGCTTGCCCCAGCCCTTGCCCCTGTCCCACTCCTCCCTTACTGTGGGGGCCTTGATCTGCCCCCCCACACCCCTTCTTTTTCCTCCCCCCTCCCCTTCCACCACACCAGACTTAACAGCTGGAGGTAGTGCTCCTCGCCTGCTGTACTGTGCTGTAGCTGCGCACATGTGTGGGCCATTTATCGGCAAAATTATCAGCCTGATGTGGTTGTTTTACAATGTAGTCAATTTTCTTTATATCGGTGCTCATCTGATATTGGACTGATGTATCTGTGCACTTCTAGAATACAATCTTCTGAGGCTTTGGTAGGGGCTTGGAAAATCTCAGGACTGCAGGAAGCTTGCGGAAACCTCAGTGAAACTCGCATGGTTGGCACCTGGAGGTTGTAATGGGAGCCATGTGACTGGGAAGGGGGCAGGCTGTCAATTAACATTTGGCAACTGGTGAAAAGAAGCAGCCACCACAGACAGCTGGGGTGGGTTCTAGCCCCAGGAGAATACCTCCCCTACCCTCCCAATCCTGCCAGTCAGCTGATTGATGGGGTGGACGTTTTGCTGTGGTGGAAACCCTCTCAGTTCCAACTGCAGGAGAACAGCCTCTGCTTCTTGCACTCCTCCAGGTCAACTGAGAGGAGTATGGAGGGAGGGGAGCACATTCTGCTGCAGTTTCAAGGCTCAGAGACTTTAAGAGTTTCACTCCTGGATATCTGTTTGCTCCTGAAGAACAGGAGGAGTGATTTTAAGGACCCATTAAGATTGTCAAAGTAAGACTCCCTTTACTGTACACAGATGTGGAGATGTCCAAACCTTCAGAGCTGTCTTGTAAGGGAGTGGAAGGGAATGAAATGTAGCAAGAGACATTTCACCAGTTGGAAAGAAAAAAAGTGAGTCTTTCCTACTCCTAGTGTGTTCTTGTTTGTTTGATCAAACCTTCCATCCTTCAGATGACCTTGAGTTACCAGGAACAGAATGCCTTTTTGGTAGAGCCTAGGGTCATTTTATAAAGAGGAAATTCCCACACATAACTTTATTAGGTTGCAGTTGAGCTGTAGGCATTTCTTAGTGGTTTGAGTTAATATTGTCTTTCAAGTTCGTTACAAGTGAATGTTAGAGATTTGATTTGTCCTAATATTTTCTGTTTAAGATTAGACTTTGTTGTTGTTTTCTATTTCTCCCAGGTAACGAAAAGCACAGTATTCAGGTTGCTTCTCAACAGGAAGAGAGTGAACCAACACTGCGTGACATGGCCTTACTTATTGAACAAGTCACTGGGGTTCCAATTCCTTTTCAGAAAATAATATATAAAGGTAACTAACCTGAAATATATTTCTTGAAGGTATCCTAGATACAGTATCAAATTCTGTTCTCATGCACATGAGGATTAATTAATCTGTCTCTACAAGAGTCATTATACTAAGTACATAACTTTTAATTCTTTGTTCAGTCCTAAAAGTGACAATGAGTAACTTCATATTTTCACATACGAGATTTATAGATGAGCTACCAATATTGGAAGCAAGAAGAATCGACACTTATGGCTTTTGGGTTTAATTTTAGTAGTCTTTTCCCAGAAAAATAGGGTTAATTCCTTTCAAACTTGATTATCTTAAAATTAAACCTGAACATTTTTCTGTTTCTTTCATTTTCTGTACTAAATACATGAGCTTTTAGCTGAGTCTAGTTTTATGTATGTAGAGACATGTATGGCTGATGGGAAGAGGTACAGGGTCATCCAAAATAGTGAAAAAATGCTCCTGGCAAAAAGTGCAAAGCTCAATGGATGATTACCTTGTAAAGTGAAAAGTACAAATAGAAATTTCTAAAGAGTAAGCCAAATACACTGTAGCAACCGGAGTAGCAAAAAAAAGTATTTCACTTACTTCACCTTGAAAAGTTAATACTTTGACTCAGTTCCTTGAAAAATTACTCTTAACCTTTACATTTTTTTAATCCAACAGAATAGTTCATTTTAAAAAGAATTACTGCACTCTATTAAAATAAATTAATAAAACAATAATGACCCAAATCCACAGAAAAGACTTGGGCTTCTAAACTGGCATTTAGAGCATGGACAGTTGAACAGTATGTCCTAGTATACTTTTTATCAGTTTTGTGTATTGATGTCAGTTGTACCAGGATCAGAAATAGACAGTTGTATGGGTGTTTTGGGGTAGTTCACATAGCAGGCAGATACCACCATGCCTTGCTACTAGGGGGTGGGATAAAGTAATAACCTGTTTGCTTTTAGCAAATGGCTACCATGGAATGGATGCAGAGAGATGATACTTAAACTGGAGTAAGATTTAAGAATATTATCCCTGATTGTGTCAGGGGAGATTCCTACTGGGTTAGCTGAAGTAATCTTGCTTTAGGAGTTTGCACCATCTGTCCATCACTATTTTACAGTGCTGTAATGCTCACTACACCAGTGTAAATGTGTTGTCTCTCCAGGCCCTTGCTGTTTAAGCACCTAGGTCTGAGAGATTTAGAATCCTTACCTAAATGTTTTAGTCTCTGGTTTTCACTGCTCAGGTTCCCCAGGATCTAAAGTTCTACTTATGTCCATGACCAGAACTGTCTTCATATTGGCCTTATGCTTGAGTTCATTTGGGATCTCTAAGCTGGTCATTTTACTACCAAAATTCCACAAGGGACCTAATCCAGTAATTGTGCCTACAGTGTGACAGTGCTGAGTTCCTCACAAAACAGAAGTCATAGCCACTTCCATTCAGAAACTGGCTGATGGAGAGTGAGGAAGAAGAAGACATGAGTTGAGTGCCTTGCCACTAGACTATGGATTGGCACCTCTTCTATCTGGATCAGGGAATCTTAATCTTTGCTGCAGAAGGTCCCAGGTAGATCTCTCCACTGGGTTTATACGCTAATGACAGGTTTATTGTACAGAAGGGAGGTGTCCTTACCACTTCCTCCTTTGGGAAATATGTATTGAAAGAAAACAGTGAGCTTACTCTTTTTCCAGAAAGGATGCCCAAGTTGCCCAGCTCCAGGAAGGAGTTACAGGCTGCAAATCTTGATCTAAGTTAGGTGGCTATGCCCTTGACAGGTGTTGGCTTCAGACTTGTCCCTCTTGGCCATCTTAGGTGTTCCTTCACACAGTGGTTGTGGAGAATCCCAATCTTGGAGGCTGAATTCTCCCCATACAGATGTGTAACTCAGGGCTGGACATTCCATTTCAAGGGCTTAGGAACCCAAATCCCTTTATGGATATAGCCCAAAGTGTTTTGGGCATCTTGCTGTAAAGCCATTTTTAACTACTATGTTTTATTTTGAAGATGGCTTATAGTTAAAAAACAAACAAACAAAAAAACACCAAAAAACAAAACACCCCAAATCAATACCTAAAGATATCTATTTCTTTTTTCCCTAGGAAAGTCCTTGAAGGAAATGGAACAGCCGTTGTCAGCACTTGGAGTTAGAAGTGGTTGCAAACTCATGTTGATTGGGAAAAGGGTAAGTGTCAATTTATGCTCTCTCTTCCTATATTATCTCAATATCTTTTCATAATTCTGTTTAGACAGTCACCAGTTAAGGTGAATCTGCTCTAAATGAGCAAAAAAGTGATAAAAGTGAGGTTAATGCGTGAGTTACCAAAGTGTACAATCTCTTGTTGTACAACCAACCTGTGCATTTTTGAAGTTACATTCTCTGGTTAGTTCCTGTCAGATTAGTCACCTGCCATTATCCCTACTTCTTTTGTATTGCTGCACTCTTACCCATGCTACTGTTCAGGGATAAAGAGCAAAAAGCTTTAGCTGTTGGGTCGCCTGCCACATATTTGAGGTGACATGTAACTGTCTGCTGGTATCACATATAGAGGGTAGGATAATCTATTTTGACAATAGGGAAGTTAAAGTGTTCCCATAAGGCACTAATATTAATAAAACTGCTTTTGAATCTTTAGTTGGTCTTCCCCTTCATATTTGTCTCATACTGTATTTATATGTCACTTTCATTTGTGCATATATTAATTGCTGAGCATAAGAAACTTAGGTAACTTATTTAACTGCATAGTAAAATAGCCAGTTTAATGATGCTTAGCTATGACAGTACCTGAAGTCCAGTATTTGTTATAAAAAGCTTGTGTGAGTATTAGTTTGTACATTAAAGTATTATCATATTATCATTTGTCCCAGATAGATTTGCTACTTTATTGATTTCAAGGTAAACAATAAATGGTTTGTCCTTTCTTAATATACAGAATAGTCCAGAAGAAGAGGCTGAATTAAAGAAATTAAAGGATTTGGAGAAGTCAGTGGAGCAAATAGCTAATAAATTAGAAGAAATTAATAAAGAATTCATAGGTATCCAGAAGGTAGGTATGCTCCCTGTCTTTCTCTCTCCTATATTTGTGCAGTAGGGTTTTATATACAGTCTTTACTTCAAGGATAGCTACCACAGAAGGTGTGTCTCATATTCAGTGGTATTTAGGCTGCAACTTAGTTTTACAGGTGACGTGTAAAAGGTTTACTAGATGCTATGTTGATTTACACATTTTTGAAAGAAGGAAAAATATATAGCTATTGTTGTAACAGGTAATAAATGCTGTGTTTTAAAGAAACTGTGTCCTTTAAGATCCACAGAAGTATACTTAATAATACTTATCCTTACATACTGGTTTTTACTCATTGCAGATTTCCTTTGCCTATGAGTGACAGCATACATGCAGTAAAGAAAGAGAATGAAAGTACAGATTCAGAACTGAGTGATTCTTTCTAAAAGTCACTTTTGACATCATTTCCTGGCAAAGAACCTAGGAACTCTGAATGGCAGGAAGTTATTCAGATTTCTTAGGACTTTAAGGAGGGCAGCTATTGTCTTAAATTTGGTTGACTTTAAGTATGCTGTTAGGAAATGACTCAAGTCTTATTGTTTGTATTACATTAGTCCTAGAACCCTAACTCAGATTCAGTCTTCATTGTGCTTAAAACTATATAGATTTCATAGATATTAGGGCTGGAAGGGACCTCAAAGATCATCAAGTCCAGCCCCCTGCCCCAGGGGCAGGAAGTCAGCTAGAGTCAAAGGATCCCAGCAAGATAAGCATCCAAATGTTTCTTGAATGAGTCAAGAGTAGGTGCCCGCACCACTTCTGGAGGGACTCTATTCCAGGTCTTGAGGGCTCGGACCATAAAGAAATTTTTTCTTATGTCCAGCCTAAAACAGTCTTGTAGGAGTTTATGACCATTTATCCTTGTTTTTCCTTGGGGCACTCTGGTGAACATATAGACATGTAGTAAGAGGCAGTACATGCTACAAGGAGCTTATAGTTTAAACAGACAAGATGAACAAAGGGCAGATTCTTGTGTAATAATAAGTGTGTTCAGAACTCTCTCTTTAATTAGTTGACACCTGTTTGCAGCAACTCCTCTTAAAATCATCAGCCGCTTACCAGCAGCATTTCTCCTACACTGCATTTGGGTGACCCTCCCTTTAACAGCAACATTTGTGTAAGAGCAGCATAACACCATGGCCCTGACATGTCAGTCCACACCTGTTAAAGACTATCTCTTTAACTCATGTTGCTTGTACTTGGGGCAGAAGTGGCAAATGACTGAGAACACTAATGGGTTAGTTTGCCAGCTTTCAAAAAAAAGTGTCATGACCCCAAATGGGTCGTAGATCCCATGGAGCCCCCACTTTCTCTGAAGTGGCAATTATCTAGTATGGCCTTTATTAATATGGAGTTAGGGCCTTACCATGCTTCAGTTGCTCTACTGTCTCTGCCTGCAATTACCTCATAGTGATTGACAGCTTAACCCAGGGAACTTTAGCTCTGTTTCATTCAGGGTAAGCTACCCTGGGTTTAAAGTGGACAGAATTACAGTTCTGTGGAGCTGCTGAAACAGTAAATATCCATCCCTGTTAACTGCAGGCACAGAAATAGCTGTAACTGTGAATGGGGTTGTGAGCAGAAAACATGTGGGAACCACTGGGTTAATTGCTAGAGTCGTGGGAGGATTTATGTCCAACTCCACTGTTAATGTTTGGGGGAATCCACAGTCACTCAAGAAAGGCTGGGGCAAATTGTCAGGGACCAAACCTGGGATGTACAGGTGGCTCCAGGAAGCTGGAGAGGGTCTTCAGAAACTGGGGAGCAAGCACCAGAAAAACTCAGACTTGGAAGAAGAACTGGAGTTGGAGGGGTTCTTCCTGTGTGCCTTCCAACTCACAAAGGTTGGGTACAGCATTTGAGTTGGATCCCTAGATATCACTCTGGTTCTCAGCAGGTCCTATAAACCCTGTCCGTAGGACTTATCTCCAAGACTGCTGATGATGTTTTGGGGAATCATGTAGCTGCATCATTTCACTGCACTCCTCAAATGTGCCCTTTTGTAAAACATCATTTTTGGCAGGTTACTGCTTTATTAATGCTATGGAAGCTATGGTATTGTTAGTGCTTTGTATCATATATTGATTCATTTGTTTGATTTGAGATGTCTGGGGGGACACAAACTGTATTGAATTAATGTTTTAAAGGGATAAAAAGGAAATAAATGGTTAACTGTATTTTGGGCCTGTACTTTCCCTTTCTACTTCTTAAAATATCACTTTTAAGGTCTTTATTAAATAAATTGAATAATAAATTGAGTTATGGGATCAGAACCCTTTCACATGGTATCTAAAGGAATATTTTGCACCAGAGTGAATTAAACTAAAATATTGAAGAGCAGCACATACCATCTGTGGAATAGGTTGCAAGTAATTTTCTTTTCATACAGGGCTTTCTAGCAAAGGATCTTCAAGCTGAGGCACTGAAACAACTGGAAAAGAGGATAAAAGGAACTGCTGAGCAGTTCATGAAGATCCTAGAACAGATAGATGCCATTGTGAGTAAATAATTGCCTGAAAGGGTTGTATATTCCTTAAAACAAATGTTTAGGCCTCCTCTGCACATGCAGGTAAACATGTGATTGGATCTAATGCATGATCCACACAATCGCGCTTCCTACCATGCCAGACATTCATGACTGGAGGCATGAATGTGGGATTGCACATTAGATCCAATCCGGCCTTATTGCTGGTGTAGAGGGAGCCGGATCCTGGGCTCCCCCTGCGTTGACAAGAAGCAGGCTCCAACAGCTGGGAGCCCTCTTTGGGGCTCCCAGCTGTGGGGACCACATGCAGCTGGGACTCAGAGCCCTGTCAGCTTCAGGACCCTCAGCCCCACAGCTGTGGGGTGCTGCTGCAGTCTCCCAGCAGCACACTGCCTACATGTACAAATTAAAGCTGGATAGAAACTGGCTATAGTTATTACATATTTTCAAGCAATAGCTGTAGCTGGTTGGACCTGTGATATTTTAAAATCCAAACAGAAAATTAACAACAAAACCAATTGGCTTGCTCGTCTTTCTTCAGTATCCAATATTTGTCACTGTAGTGCCTCCAAATGGCATCTTCATGTTGGTAAGTGCAACAGGGAGCCTGGGGCTCCTGGTTCTTTAAGGGAAAGACTGCAATAGAAAGAGCCTCAGGCAGTTGAACAGGGGTAAGCTGCAAGAGGGAAGGCAGAAAAGAAACAACTGTAGCCTAGACAGTAAGCTGTCCATACAGGTGAGGAAACACACCTGCAGCCAGTTAAGAGAACACCTGAGTGGAAGGGGGATGAACCTAGGGGATATAAGCCTGAATCCCTGAGGTAGAGGGGCAGTGTAGCTCTGAACTCTGCTCAGAGAGGAGCTCCTGCCAGTTCAGGTTGGTGGGGAATGGGAACTGCAGTCCATGTCAGGTGCTCCCAGGGCAGAGAGAGCCAGAGACTCAGAGGGAGGCTTGGAAGTGAGATGATGACCCTGAAGGGGGACTTTGAGTTAAAGCAGTTGTTTGGATTTTTGTTCTGACTTAGATCAGTGGACTGTGTACGGCTGATGAGGTAGGAAAGGAGGCACAGGGGTGCCTGATGGGGCACGCTGTTGAGCAGAAGGCACAGACAGGATGAGGCCAAGAAGTCCAGGACCTGAACCGAGAGGGCCAACAGAGGCAGCCTGAGGTCAAGAGGGCCAGAGCCTGAGTCCAGAGGGGGCAGTAGGGTGGCTAGGGGCCATTGAGGGCCTGAGATTGAAAGGCCAGGCCAGAGATACCAAGCTTAGACTACGTGCCTATAGCCAGAGTAACCTGTAGGCTGAGGCTAAGAAGGCTGAAGCCTATACAAAGGAGTAACTGGTGAGACTAACGTATGTGAGGCATGGCTATGGGGGCAGCAGGAGGCACGATTAAAAGCTTTAAGGCTTAAATGAAGTCCATTTGGGCAATAGGGGGTGGCCACTGGCTCACAGTACCAGTTACACACAGTTGGTTTGCCAGGGTAAAAGAGACACCTGTGAAGAACTAAGGTTTTGCCTAGTGACAGGGGGCCCAGCAATCATGAGAAATGAGTCAGGCTAGTCAAAGCACCAGTGAGGGCACTCTGGGTCTCAAGTATTCAAGGCACTCTGGGTCCTATTATTATTCAAGGAACATCAAGGTGTGGTAGGTGAGAGAAACAGCAGGATTTATATAGAGGACTTGCAATGCGGGCAGGATTAGGGTGGCCACGGCTGTACCAGGGCCTGTCGTGCTACAGTATCTGGCAGCTCTTATTTTTACATGGGGACGCTACTGCCTGTGTGCATCTCTAGGCTGCAGAACAGCACCACATTTGGCTGTGGCATATTAAATCCACACACAATAGGTATTCTGTACTTATGAGTTACGCTTTTAATTTGTCGCGACAACAGAGCCCACTATATTAAACTACTTTACAGTAACAATAAGAGTATGACAAAACAGGAGGACACTTCTCTCCATAACGTCATCCAAGGGTCAAGGAAGGCACACATGTGGATGACTTCAGATTGGTCATACATGGGTTGTGATATTTTTGTTTGATGTCTGCATATGATTGTTTGTTTGTTTAATTTTATCAAGGTATAGCTTAGTGCCTCCCAGCCACCAGTGAAGCATAACCAGATGGCACCCCCATAAGTGGTATCTTTTTCCCTTTTACACACAGGGTGAATGAGGTATTGTGTAGGTCAAGTAACCTGCTCAAGGATACACAGGAAGACTGGCTGAGCAGCATATTTAGCACAGATCTCCTGAGTTCAGTTACGTTGCCCTTTCTGGTATCCTACCCATTAGATCATCCTTCTATGGGGGAAAGTTTCCTCTCATAGGCTCATTGGACAGCAGGATTGGAAGGGACAACATGAGGTCATCCAGCTCAGCGTGCTGGATGGTCCTGCCAAGTGCCTGTCTAATTTGCCTTTGAAAATTTCCAGGGATGAAGATGCCACAACTTCTTTAGGTAGCCTGTTCCAATACTTGGCCATCTTTGTAGTCAGAAAATTTCTCTTAATCTCCACCCTGAGTTTCCTTTGCTGCACCTCAAGGCCATTGTTCCTCATCTTGTCCCTTACAGCCACAAAGAAAAGCCCATCTGTATCCTCTGTAATTGCCCTTCAGGTATTTGAACTGTTGTCAAATCCCATCTTCTCTTCTCCAAACTAAACAACCCTAGCTCTTTTTTAGTATTTCCTCATAAGTCTTGCTTCCCAAACCTCTATAATCATTTTTATTGCTCCGTGCTGGACTCTTTCCGATTTGTCCTCATCCTTTTTTAAATGTGGGGCTCAAAACTGGACCCAGGACTCCAGCTAAGGCCTCACATAATTATGTTGCATCTGACAAAGAACAGTTATTAAGGGAAGCTGTGTTGTGTTTCTGTGGTGCTCATACCTTAGGGCTAATCCTGCAAATGAATTTACACAGAATGGAGCATATCCTCCACACTACCCATGTGGAATCTCCCGGCTCAGCAGAGCTCTGCCCAAGTCTGGTGGTCTGCTTGTTTGAATCTGGTTGGTAGGACCTGGGTCTAACTGTCTTTTTAATCGATTTGATTACTAGTGTATACCCTGGGAGATATCAAAATACTGCTTTACAGTGGATTCTCTGGCTCCCCCACCAAAAGAATACTGACATGCAGCTATTGTGGGAATTGAATAGGGTTTATAGACAACTGTGATTTTTAGGTTACCTAATGTATTGCTTTTGTACTACCAAGTTTTTAATAAGAAGTTAAGGGTTGAGGTTTTGTTGCTGTGATCTTAAGTTCACTTGTACCTCTCAAATCTATTTTTTGAAAATTTTTTAAATAGTTTAATTTGTTCTTGCATGTAACAGCTGAAGCATTTACACTTCAAATATAAAATAGATTTTTTTTTTCAACTACTTTATTCCTATTCTCTCTCTCTCTCTCTCTCATGGTTGGGGGGGTGGGGGGGAAGAGAGAGAGAGAGACCTTTATTTCATAGAGGAGAAGCCCTTACTTGACAGTCTCTCAAGCAGTATCAGATCATCTTGCTCAGTAGAAAAGAGAAGTCCATTCTGGAAGGTAGAGTTCACACGCTATTAAAACCCCAGGTCTCAGTGCATGACATGACTAATAATCACAAGAGCCCTGATAGTAATCAAAGCAATTTCTGAAGGTTCGTGTATAGACATTGATTTGTTTTAAGTGGAGTTGGTCCATTGCTGTGCACCTTCTCTAATCTTACAAAATGCTTTAGAAATCCCCAATCAGTATTTTCAGTTGACACAAACTCATTGTATGCCATTTGTCTGATTCCATGTGCACACTTTAAAATAGTTTAGAAGTTAAAGTACCTTGACTGCCACCTTTCCACTACTGCATTTTACACAAAGGATTTTGTCTGATTTTAGTGCTTTGACTGCTAACAAATATGTTAACTGTGGTGCTGGCACTTGTGCTGTAGGAAGACTAGATAATACATGCAATTCATATTGGTTATCAACCAGCAGTCAAACTGTATCAGTTTCTGTTGACTGGTAAACTGTATTGGCTTTTATTCTACAGTTTAGAGGAGGCACTTACTTTATTTATTCACATACACCTTTTCTCACCCTAAATATCAGCCCTCCAGAATGGGCGTATGTGACCTGATCAGGGAAATGGGCTTTTCTTCCTTTGAATAGAAGCAGGAAGATGCCATGCTCTTTCTGCCAAAATGGTTCCTGCTTTCTGGCTTACCAAGCAGCAGGGCTAGGGTTCAGTGTTATTCCTGTCTTAGCCACTATTGGCTGAGCACTGTAGCTTGTGCTTGAAACATCAATTGAGCTGGCTCACGCCAAGTGAGCTGCTGCTTGCAGTCTAGTCTCTTGATGAGGCATGCAGTATGGATATAACACTTTATTATTTACAGCAACTTATAAAAATAACTATTTACAGTAACTGCTTAGTGCCCTTGAAAGGGTCTGGGGTTTAGCTCTGTTGATGTCCTCTGTACCAGGAAGTTCCTGCTGCATGGGCCAGACTGTCTCCTGAAATGCCACACTTCCTGGACACTGCTTCCAGGAGGACTTACTGTCACACAGTGAGCCATGACTTAGAAGAAGAAAAAAAAAGTTTTTCAATATTCAGCCTTCCAGACACAAGGGGTATGTCTTATTTGGGAGCATGTGATGTGCCAGAAAATATGGTAGTTCTAAGCTATCACTTTTCAGTATTACAAAATATTGTAAGTAGTCAATAAGTAAAATTAAGAATATAACAAGGGCCAAAGCAAACCCTGCTTTCAGGGTTATTTTGTTTGTTTGTTACCAGGTTGAGAATTATGAACTTGGAACAGCTAAATTGACTTAAGGGATCAAAGGTTTTAAATATGGGGTCCTTGGCTTTAGTGAGAAATCACTGAAGGAACCAACATCAAGTGTGACATTAAAATCATTGAGCCTTGCCCCCAAATCTCCAGATGTTACTCAGATTTTTTTTTCAAACATTTACATACAACTACAACCTTGCAAACCCAGTCTTATTTCATGTATAAAATAC